ACACCCCCCCCCCCCCAGGCTTGAAAACAGAATGCAGTGCGCCTCTAGAGAGTGATCCGCCGAGCGTGGCTCCTACGTAAACAAAAGGGTTTACACAGGAGCAGGACTTAATCTAACTGTGCCCACGTACTATGCAGGAGCAGGGTCTAAGCAGACAGGACAGAAGGGTGTTGCAGGGGGCCGCCCCCCCCCCAACGGTGTTTACTTGGTGAAAAGTACTTGAGGGACTTTTAAAAAACCCATAACCAAAAGGAACACAGTTGTTCCCATTTCCTTTCTTTGCCCAGCAAGCAACAGCCCACGGGGGTAGGGGACGACTTTTAAAAAAGACAAAGAACAGAATAGAAAAAGAAAAGAGGATGAACCTGGAGCTTTACCCTTCGAGGGGATTTACTTGGAGTGGGTACAGAAAAGAATTTTTCTGAGCTTGAAAACGCACAATGGCTTCACACGGAGGTAACCCAATTCCTCCTCCAAGCCTCTACACAAAGGGAGAGAATGTCTACAATTTGCAATGTTTACTGAGGGGCAAAGGGGGGGGAACGGAACGAAACTTTGAAAAAGAAGCGGCTTCCGTGGGACCGTGAAATGGGAGGCGACGCCAGGCCTCACCCAAAATCGCCAACAGCCTACAAGTCAACTGTCTCCCGAAGTTGTGACTCGGCTTCAAGATGAGGGTTCTTGGAGAGACCCGAAGCGATTGAGACCAATTTAATACCAAATTCCCACTTGTAGCCTAAGAGGTGTGGCCCAAATGGTATCTGAACCCAAACGAACCCTAACAACCAGGTTATGTGGATCTACCCCACTCTCCCATGTACACCAGGAATCTCTAACAACCAGGTTCTTGGAGAGACCCAAGGTGATTTAAACCGGTTTAACACCAAATTCCCATTTGTAGCCTAAAAGGTGTGCCCAAATGGTACCTGAAACCAAACGAATCCTAACAACCAGGTTACGTGGATCTACCCCTCCTCCCCCAGGTACACAGTTTAAACCTATCTGTGGGCTGCACCTACAGTGCCTGCTGAAGTTCTTGGCGTGGCCTGACCCACCAAAACCAAGAGATGCTTTCCAAGTCCCCACAGCGCCACCCAAAGGAAGGCTGTGGTGACCTATTTTTCCCTTCAGTGCTGCTGAATAAGAAGGTACAGTGAAGTCCAGCCTGCGGCCTGTTACTCTCCTCTGCTGAGACGTCTCAGGCCCTTTCGCAGGAACCAAGATCCGGAGGGCCTCCTTACTTTCAGAGCCACGTCACAAAGAAACTGCGCCACCCCTCTCTAAAGCTCCCCTCCCACCTCCCAAGATGCTTCACGTCTTTCTTTTTTTTAAAAAAAGCCAACCCAATTAACACAGAGTTAACAGTGACTTAGCCATTAAATCCTGGGAAGGCTGGAAAGGTGGCCTTGGCGATCACAGCCGGTAAGGCCTAAGGACACAGAGATTCCAGAAATACCAACGCAAACTAGGGAGGGGAACGGAAAGCAGCAATTTCCCAGCTATGAGATTTCATCAGGCCCTCTGGAGCGGGTGCTGGCTTTACGCCTGAGCGGGCCCGGACATTCTGGTATGAGGAAGAGATTTAGGGGGATATGCTTCTGCCCAACAGAGGGCGTGGGGGAGGTCTCCCTGAGTTTTAACCTTTAGCGTGGAAAGTTGACGGCTCCGTCCAGCACTGCAGGAGTTAAGTGCTGAAGCACTGACACTTAATCAGCTTTCCCCTGGTCCCCCCCCCATCCCTTCACATGTGATTGGAGCCAAGCTGCACTGAAGCAGCCCAGAGGGCTTATAACAGCTCAATTTCGCAGCCTTCAGTTTTAATCCCCGTCACTCGGGCTAAGCAGCCCGCTCGAGCACGGGCCGCTACTCGGCAGCAGTCCGGTCGCCCGGGTCACGGCAATCCTCCTCCTCCTCGGCCGCCTGGAGGTGGCTGGAGAGCTCCTGGACGACGGCCGCCCGGCCGATCTGGTCGTTCCTCCGCTTCTCCATGATGAGGTCCTCCAGGCTCTGGAACTCCAGCGTGTGGCTGCGCTTGTCGCCCAGCCGGATCTGCAGCCGGTAGGGCTGCTTGCCGATGCGGAGCTCCCCGCCGATCTTGAACTCCCGCTTGCCGTAGCGGCACCAGGCGGCAAAGCACTCCGAGTTCCTCCAGCTGAGATCCCGGTCCTTGCACCCTACCTGGTCCAAGGCGTTCTGCACGACGGTGGCCGGGCTGAGCGGCTTGTAACGGTACAGCTGGTTGGCGATGCGGCCCCTCCTGCCCTGGCTGGCGTCCGTCAGGAAGCTGTTCACCACTTCCAGCCTGTGCAGGTGGACCACTTGGAAATCCCCAACGTATACCACCCAATGAGGGTACTGGGCCTGGCAGACAAACTCCACCAGGTCGCCCGGCTTGCACTTGTTCAAAAGGTTCTCCGGGGTGTAGGTGGCCAGGGGCCCCGCTCCGCCACCATCCACCTCCACCGGAAGTGTGTCATCCCCAGAAAAGCTCTTCTGATAGATACACTCGTCGCGGTAATAGACCGAACATTCCACTTCGTGCAGCTGTGGGTCATAGGGCTGAGAAGAGGGGTGCTCTCGGGCTCGATCCGCCACCCCCGAATCCTGCTGCGGCTCCAGTTCGTCGTCGTCGTTCGAAAAGATGTAGGAGACCCCGATCCTCGGACCCTCATCTCGGTCCACGCCCGTCGGGTCGGCTGTAGGAACTTCCTTGTAGTTTAGGTGGGTCAGTTTCTCCACTTGGTTCCCCATGCCTGCTGAAGCAAAACCAAAACAGGCATTAGTACACATGAAGCTGAACACATGAAGCTGCCTTATAGTGAGTCGGACCATCTGTCCATCAAAGCCAGTGTCGCCGACTCGGGCTGGCAGCAGCTCCCCAGGGTCTCAGGGCAGAGGTTCTTTACATCACCTATCACATGGTCCTTTTCACTGGAGATGCCAGAGATTGAACCTGGGACCTCCCACACGCCAAACAGATGCTCTACCCTCACCAACAGGGGGGCAAAGAGCATGGAGGGAACTGCAGAGAAGGACCATCTTGTACTTTTGGAGTTTGTGAAACTCACACCACTACATCTAGACCAGAGGTGTCGAACTCATTTATTATGAGGGCCGAATTTGACATAAATGAGTGGGCCGGGCCATCTGTGCCATAAAATGTACCCGACCTATCCGCCACGGAAAGACCGCCAGAAAAAGGAGCCAGAAGCCGAGTGACACCGAAGTCGACGTAGCCGACCTGGAGAAAACCCCTCTACTGGGTGCCGGTAGGGATTGTCCCCAACCCTAATAATTGTGGCCATAGGTTAGGGATAAATGAGTAACTGTAGCCGCTCAGAGACCCCTTAGGGGGTTAGAGCGGGGTAGTAAGCTGAAATAAAAATAAAAAATGTAATGCCAGGTAGCGGAGATATAAACTTTATAAAGGAAACAAACACAAAGGGATTTTTTTTACTTAAAATAAAAAGATGCTTAAAACATTAGCACTCTTGCAATATTTTATTTAATAGTCTCTGATAACTGATACCTCTTGCTCTGAATTATTGCATCAAAATGTTTGTGCTGTTGCAATCGTGAGTATGCTGTTCAGGTGTGTATCTGTAAGCTGCAAACCTACAATGACGCAGCAGAACTGGAAGAAGAAGCAGAAGACAGCCAGTTCCACTGCGGGCCCGATAGAAGCCCTCCGAGGGCCTGATCCGGCCCCCAGGCCGCATGCTTGACACCCCCAAATCTAGACCTCTTTCTCAAGGATGCTACAGAACCAACCATGTGGCTGTGGAGGGGCCATGGCTCAGTGGTAGAACATCTGCTTTGCATGCGGAAAGTCTTAGGGTCAATCCCTGGCATCTCCCGTTGAAAGGTGATGTGAAAGCCCTCCACCTGAGACCCTGGAGAGCAGCATCCAGCCAGAGTAGACGAAACTGACCTTGACAGACCAACGGTCTGATGTGCTATAAGGCAGATTCATGCATCTTAGCACTGCAACCTTTGGCAGCTTCTACCTCATATATAAAGACTCCGGGGTGTAGGGGGCCAGGGGGCCCGCTCCACCACCATCCACCTCCACCGGAAGTGTATCATCCCCAGAAAAGACTGGAGTGTCCAAGAAATGGAAGTTAACTGGAGCCCTTTTCAAACGTTACAACAGTGTTTACCAGGAGTGCGCACCACACGCAATTGTCATGCTGTGTGAACTTGGGTTAGGGCTATTTTTGGGCAGGAACGCACAGGAACGGAGTTCTGGCTGGCTCCCAAGTTGGCCACACCCAGCAGGAACTCATTAGCATAATAGGCCACACCCAACAGCAGAAACTCATTAGGATTGGCTACACTAGGGGTGTGTGGCCTAACATGCAAAGGAGTTCCTGCTACAAAAAAAGGCCCTGGGTTTTGACAAAAAACAAGGTAAACAGAATAACAAGCAAAAGGTGGGTGTGGCTGGATAACCACACTTCTGGTAACATGTGGGTGCGGCCTAATGTGCTAATGAGCTGTGCTGTCAGGGGTGTGGCCCAATATGCTAATGAGTTCCTGCGGTTGGGTGTGGCCTATTATGCTAATGAGTTCCTGCTGGGCTTTTTCTACAAAAAGAGCCCTGGGTAATATCATGTCTGTACAGCCTCAGTACGTGTCAATGTGAATGTTGACAAATCCAGTGGCCAGTTCATGCACACCAGAGCTGCCCACATGTGGAGAATATGCACATTGCCCCTCTTCGCACAGCATGGCTACTGGTGTATCAGGAGAATCTACGCATTGTCAGTCAGCGCCACATATGCTCCATTATAGTGTCTGAAAAGGGCTCCGAAAGAGGCTCAATCCCCCCACGCCTTCCGTAAACAGAAAACAGCCGTGAGACTGAAATCTTGAGAAAATTAACCGGGGCAGGGAAGGGGAGAAATATCTTGCTTAACTCCCCTCCCTCATCCCAAGCCCTTACTGCTTTTCCATACTCAAGGGAGATGCCGCTGCTCCTATGGTGGAAGAAGAACAGATTTTTTTGGGGGGACGGGACTCAGGTGGGTAGCTGTGCTTGGTCTGAGCGAACAGAACAACGTTTGAGTCCAGTGGCACCTTTAAGACCAACAAAGTTCAGTTCTGGGTATAAGCTTCTGTGTGCATGCACATGAAAACGTATACCCAGTATTAAACTTTGTTGGACTCAACAAACTGGACTCAAACTCTGTTCTCTTGGGGGACTGAGTGTGAATCGGCAAAGGAAGTCCCATTGCTCCATTCAGTTGTCTACCTAATGCCCTTGATCTATCATAGCCCTTGATCCAAAGAAGTCAGCGCAGCATGCATGGATTTGCCTTTCTCATTTGAGAGCCAGTTTGGTGTAGTGGTTAAGCGTGCGGACTCTAATCTGGGAGAACCGGGTTTGAGTCCCCACTCCTCCACCTGCACCTGCTGATGTGACCTTGGGTCAGTCACAAGCTTTGGCACAGCTGTTCTTGAAAAAGAGCAGTTTGTGTCAGAGTTCTCTCAGCCCCCCCCCCCTCACAGGGTGTCTCTTGTGGGGAGGGGAAGGGAAAGGAGTTTATAAGCCGCTCTGAGACTCCAAGTGAAGGGCGGGGTATAAATCCAATCTCTTCTTCTCTTCTTCTTCAACCACCACCCTTAGCAGCAATGTTCCCTTTAAGCTGTAGAGCCTTGTGAGCAAAAATTCTATTTTGTGAGCTACTGGCATTAAAGTTGTGAGCGAGCCATTTGACTACTGCTGGCTCTGGAGCCCTTCTTCCTGAGCAAAGACAAAAATATCTGTGAGCTGGAGGCTAAAAAACTGTGAGCTAGCTCACACTAACGCTTAGAGGGAACACTGCCTAGCAGGTAGGTGAAGTTTCACTGCAAAACAGGGATTCAAATCAAGGGCTCCGAGATCCACCCTAAAGTCAAGTTAATTCATGACATAGCATGACATATGGATGTGAAAGTTGGACAATGACGAAACCTGACAGGAAGTGGTTTCCTTTGAAATGTGGTATTGAAGGAGTGTTTTATAGATACCGTGGACCGCCAAAACGACAAACATGAGTTCTAGATCAATCCCCCCCCCACGAAGCGGCGGTGGTGGTCAGGGAATTTGTAGAGCATTCCCTGCACATGCGCAGGGGACGCTCTGTCACTTTCGGGGGGATTTAAGTATCCCCCCGTTTTTTTTTCAAGGTTTTTAGATTTTTGTGCACACCTGGGTACTGCCCCAAGTGTGCACGAAAATCTCCTTCCCCCCCCAGATGCCCCCGATGCGTGGAAATAAGTTTCCGCACGCAGGGGGCACCGTTCGGTATTAGATATATAGATATTATCAAAAATACATGTATTTATTATCAGTTAGTTAAAAATGATTATGGGCCCATTGTAGCCTCAATGCAGAATAATAGTGTACAAAGGAATTATATAGTTACAATCCATTGATGCAAGGCCTGAGAATATTGATGAGGCCTCATCGAGTATCGCCTTGTGTCCTGGTCAGATATATGTGTCCAGAACAGTATTACTATTGTAAACCTTCCTATTTTGATCCAGAAGGTACAATCAAATTGGAGCCAGCCAGTGTTCCCTCTAAACTGACTTAGTGTGAGCTAGCTCACCGTTTTTTAGCCTCCAGCTCACAGATTTTTTTCTTAGCTCAGGAAGGATGGCTCCAGAGCAAACTAATTTATGCAGTACCCAAATTGCTTGCTCAAAACTTTAATGCCAGTAGCTCACAAAGTAGAATTTTTGCTCCCAAGACTCCACAGCTTAGAGGGAACATCACAATAGTAATGCTATTCAGGACACATATATACAAATCCCTTTTTGGGCCTACACTGATTAACTTATTGTCTCATTACTGTATCATTCATTTGGTGTGAGAGCCAGTTTGGTGTAGTGGTTAAGTGCACAGACTCTAATTTGGGAGAACCGGGTTTGATTCCCCACTCCTCCACTTGCAGCTGCTGGATGACCTTGGGCAAGCCATAGTTCTGTCAGAGTTGTCCTTGAAAGGGCAGTTCTGGAAACAGCTCTCTCAGCCCCACCTACCTCACAGGGTGTCTGGTGTGGGGAGGCGAAGGGAAAAGAGTTTGTAAACCACTCTGAGACTTCGAGTGACTTCGAGCTAAAAACCTGTGAGCTAGCTCACACTAACTCACCTTAGAGGGAAGGGAAAAGAGTTTGCAAACCGCTCTGAGTCTTCGAGTGACGGCCGGGGTATAAATCCAATCTCTTTGTCTTCAGTTTATATGTACAACTATTGCTCAACCACTGAAGGGAGGCCACTTTGGCTGAAACACGTCTGGTTGCAATAGGCCCCACACTTTTATTCTGCATTGAGGCTACAATTGGGCCCGTAATTGGTTTTAACTGATAATATTTTGATAATATTTAAGTTATAATCATAGTCCTTAGTCACTGGTCTTTTACTTTGTACGTAACTAACCTTTCAAGTACTTGATTCATTTGCTTGGGTTAAGTTCCCCCACCCCCTTTCCTCCACCCCCCCTCGTTCTTCTAGAAACTCAAATGACTAAACTGAGGCTACTGTGCTTAGGTCACATGATGAGAAGAGAAGAGTCACTGGGAAAGACAATCACGGTAGGAAAAGTTAAGGCAGCAGGAAAAGAGGAAGATCCAGCAGGAGACAGGGTTGATTCAGGCAAGGAAGCCACAGCCCACAGTTCGCCTGAGCAAGGCTGTGAAGGATAGGACATTTTGGAAGACATTGACTTACAAGGTTGCCATAAGTTGGAAGCAACTTGGTGGCA